AAACTTAGGTACGGTATCTTCTTCAATTCGCAGCTTCGTACTGTACCTGTTNGGATCGTACCTGTTTTTACCTGATCTTTTTTCGGTTTCTGATCTTCTGGAACCGCCCCTTTCTTCATGATGAAACTTAGGTACGGTTGTGAGCACGTGATTTCTGCCCTATGAGAACTACTCCAAAAAAATTCAAAATAAAATGGTTTTGTGTTGTTTGTGATTTTTTTGTATTTTGTTTGTGCATGTTTATTTCTACTTTAATTAAGAAAAACACAAAACTAAGGGATGCATGTGCATTTAGGATTTAATTTTACAATTTAGGATTTAATTAAACAATCAAGTTTGTTTTACAAAATGGAAAAATCACAAAAAATATGTACTTTTCATTTTTAGCATTTAATGTCCAAATTATGCGATTTTATCTTTATTGATGTTTAATTTCATGTGATAATTATTATTAAGAGCTAATATTTTAAGTTAATTGTCGATTTTATAATTTAATTAGGATTTTTAGTTTTATTGTTGAAAAGAAAAACTGAAAAAAAAATAAGAAGAGGAAGATTCAGTTGGGCCAATTTGGCCAAGCCCAAATCCTTACAACCAAACCTGGCCAAAAACCAGCCCATACCCGCCCCAAATCCAGTCCACCTGCGACTAATCCGAACGACGTCATTTTTGTCACTCTCAATTTGGTTCGTTGATCTCATTTGATCAACGGTCTAGATCAACTCCTCCGTCACCCGACCCGTTCCCATCTAAGACCGATCCGGTCTCAAGAGTAAATGAAGCGATGCCGTTCCACTTGAATGAGCAATCCAGGCTGTTGATCTCATCAGATCGAACGGCTTGGATCCAATCCCCACGTACGTATATAAGGGGTCCAAACAAACCCCGCCCCCAAACCAAGCCCCCCTCTCATTCTCTCCCAAACCTCGTCTCTTTCAGAGACGANATAAAGGTTTTAATGCAGATGAATGGATTGTATTGGGGCAGTAATATTAAAGGGGCTTCAGGGGTGATTTGGGAATGGAACAGTTAGGATAATATTTTAATGTTAGTGTTTTGTTAGTGGGATATTAGTGTCTTTAAATTAATATGGTAATGGGGAACAAGAGGGAATGAGGGGGCTGAAAAAAAGGAAAAAACTTTCCTTAGTGGGTTTTAAGTGGAAAAATTCAGATTTTTAGTGGGGAAGGGGGTCGGGCAGTAAGTTTGAAAGGGAGGGCATGTCTGTATAAGAGGGCAGAATCCGGTCTGTATAAGGGGGCAGAATCAGGTTTGTAGAGGGGGATTTTTGATTTTTGGAGAGTTTGGGGGAACCTAAAAAAGAATAGCTACTGTTTTCATTGCCTCGTTTAGGATCTGAAATAGCTAAAACTTTCTTCCTTTTACTTCTGCTCTATACTTGGGGAGGTTTATAGTTGCTGGTTGTTTGTTGCTGCACTGCTGTTGCAACTTCTGTTTGTTACTACTGCTGCTGCTGATCCTCTTCTTCCTCTTCTTGTATTGTCAATACCAGGTACATGCTTCGAACTCCCTTGATGTAGTTCCTTGAAGTTCACAAATGGAAATATTCACAGATTTGTGTTCATTTGTAGGCTGCTTATTGTTTACAATTGGATGAATTGTTAGTTAATTATACCTTGTCGATATTGGTTATGTGTTTTGAATTATGTGAACAGTGGAGACATACGAATTGTAATTAAGAGCTAACTGAAGTGCTATGCTCATGTTGACATGCTGTTAGTTTACAAATTTGAACTGCTATGCTCACGTTGACATGCTGTTAGTTTACAAATTTGAGCTGCTAGGTTGTCAGTTCGCTTTACCATAACAATTAGTACTAGATGAAGTTATTTGAACTCTTGATTTATTCTGCTATAAATGATTCATGTCAAAGTAGGCAACTAGTTAGGGACAATAATTTAATTAGAAACAAAAGCATCAGAATGTTCGAATGTGCGCGGGTTTGTTTTGGGACTACTTGAATTCATGATTATCTCGAAACCGCTTTAGTATAGATAGTGCTCATTTTAAGTATAGCACTATTCTGTTAAAAATCAAATTCAGAAACATGATTGGAGTTGCATATGTATGATGGGTCATCAATCTTGATTTCGAGTTATACTTAATATCAGTAGGCATCAACGGTTTAGGTTAATAATATCAGTAGGCATCATCAGTAATTTATTTAAAATAAGCAGGCACCATTAGCACTGATTAAACAAATTGGTCGTGATAATTGGATATGAATAAGTAGTTAATTTGAACGAGCATACGTCGTAGTATTTTATTACTATTTGGTACACACACTCTGGAGAGTTGGAGTAATTGTGGCGTGCAAATGCTTATCTCGCGTTCTTCTCGGCCTGATCCTGTTCATCTGAACTAGGTGAATCCTAGGCCCACTTTGGGCCACTGAAAATTCACGGTTGGCCTGCACGAATTTTATGGTTTAGGCTCTTTGGACCCAAGACTGATATGGCAATTGGCATGTTAGCACCTAAGGATGGACTGGGTTTTTAAGTTAGGTAGCGGATTCGAATCAAAAGGTTCGTCCTTTCGTTTGGATCCGGACTTGAACTTGAGGCCCCGATTTTGTAATATTAATTAACTAGGATTCTTTCTTTCAATTTAGAGACAAATAAAGTAGAGAATCGTAGTCGCTCTTCGGTTTGCCCTTTAAATAATGAATGAGATGAGCCTCGCCAAATAAATCACCTAGGCTGCGGGGCCCTCTATACGTATTGGTAAAATTACTTGGACTTCGGGATGGGCCGTTTAGCAAAACTTCGCAGCCCTACCCAAAAATATGATACGCTAGTCGCTTTAGTCGCGCCTTTAATAATTTATTTTTTAAACTCGGGTGCACATTTATGTGACCCAGATCCAAATCTGAACGAAGTCAAAATGTATCTTTAATCACGGGTACATTAATTGTGACGTGGTTCGAGATGCATTTCCATGACGTTGCAAATTCCTTTAAAAAATAATGAATGANGGCATCCTATTTGTTTTACGCATTTATTTGCCACAGACTTGCATGCCGACCGGCTTCTGACAATATTGAAAAAAAAGAAAATAGCAGTGTAGAGAGATAATTCTGAGTTAGCGGCGAACTCTGCCAAAATTTTGTGAAAATGAAAAAAAAATGTTTTTTTAGTGTAATTTATTTAAACAAGTCTTGTTGTCAGAATTAGTTTATTGTCGTGGCCCGAACTACGCCGGTTTGATTCTCATAGGATGTGAGATACGTAGGCAACCCTCATCGGGTCCAACCTCCCCTTTTGCAAAAATAGCCAAAAAATGTCAAAAATTTTAATTTTTCGTCATAAATAAGTCGGGTGATTCCATTCTTGTAAAAATAGTCGAATGTCCCTAAAAAGATGCCGGAAGGCTATTTTTGCGAGAACAACCACTTTTGGTCATTTTTAAGGTTTTGTCCGATTGGTAAAACACAGCCTTTAAATCTTCTTCGAAATGTTGAAAGGTCGTATTGACAAGACCGGAGTTTTTAAATGTGTGTCAATTCTTCCTTTGAGTCCAATGGGTCTTAATCACCCCAAACAAACATGCAGAATGAGCACGGGTCCAAGTTTGCTGGTAACAGTTAGGAGCAAGATCCCTTTGGAGTTGCGCTTGTGGTGGGAGGATTTGGAAGAGTCAGAGCGAGATAAGATCAAATCACATCTGGGAGGCCTCACTAGTTTGTTGAACGTCAGACCGAGATGTGACATCATAAAAGCTTTGATTACATTTTGGGACTCGTCCCACAACGTATTCCACTTCTCAGATTTTGAACTCACCCCAACCTTAGAAGAGGTAGCAGGTTATATGGACATTACTGAGGGGCTAAGGCACAAATATCTGATTGCTCCAAGAGCCGTCAATTCGCACAAGTTCATGGATCTGCTAAAGATAAGCAAGGGAGTCCCGTACTCTGAATTGGATATTGGTTTTTCGACTTTGCAGTTCATATACCAGAGGTATTGCCATATAGGAGGGTTCAATGATCTGGAAAGCGGGGTTTGTAGCAGAGGAAATTGGACAAAATGGGATGAACATAGGCGGTTCGCCTTCATGGTAGCGTTCTTGGGCATTGTGGTGTTTCCTCGGAAAGATAGAAATATTGATTTGAAGGTGGCTGGAGTCGTCAAGGTCCTAATTACCAACAACAAAATCATGTTTGCCCCTATGATAGTGTCTGAGATATATCGAGCTCTCACAGCCTGTAAAGTCGGGGCAGATTTTTTCGGAGGATGCAATTTGTTATTGCAAATGTGGATGATCGAGCACTTGTGTCATCATCCTCAGTATATAAGCTATAGATCTACAAACGAAGGTTGCATTGAAGAATATAACATGAGGGTTTCAGGGCTCAAATTGCCAGAAGGGTCTGAAGATTGGGTATCTTACCTTCACGCCATCACTGCAGCACAAATAGGGTGGACATTGGGTTGGCTTCCTGTGGAAGAAATTGTGTACATGCCCACCACGGGTCCTTACTTCCTCTTAATGGGACTCCGAAGCATTCAGCCTTATGCGCCTTACCGGGTGATGATACAGTTAGGGAGGTGTCAGGTGTTACACCCAGATGAAGATCTCAGTGTTTATGCAATCGAGGTTAGCACCAACGGCCAATTTCATGAAGAAGCCGTTCGTTCTTATGGAATGAATGCCAGTATTTAACGGTAAACACTCGAGTGCGCGACCTATCCCGAGGCGAAGTCTCACCTGCTTATATCGCTTGGTACAGGAAGAGAGACGTTGTAAGGGACGAGCCAGAACGGCCAACCAAAAAACCTCACATTCAAGAGTTCGTTGAGGCGTCACAGGAACCGTGGGACTGGTTGGCCAAAGAGCGCGAATACCGGGCCGAAGTAGGCAAGCTGAAACAACACATCAAGGATCTGAAATTTGAGAACAAGGTGAAAGTTGCTGCCGATGAAGGAGAGAAGAACAAGTTAGCCCAAGAAAATGAGGCTCTCAAGGCTCAGATCCGACAAATGAGGATAGATCCTGACAATCAGCAAATGAGTCGGTCGGATGAAAGATTGATTAACAGACTAAAGAAGGAAATCATTAAGCGCCGGGATGATCTGAAGAAATCCGAGGGTGCCGTAGCACAGCTCCGGGCACAATGGGCAAAAAGAACAAAAGAGCGCACACAGTACTTGCAGCAGGTGAAGAAGGAATATGAAAAAACCATCGCCAAACTAAAGGGAAAAATGACTTCCCTTGAGGACAAGGCAGCTAAGCAAGCTGAAGCTTATGAAATCGAAAGTGGACACTGTTACGATTTACTGGCTCGATTGGAAGATGAAATACGGCACTTGCAAAGGCAGCATCTCCAGGATTCTCAGGTTTTGGGGGGCTGTAGTGATCAGATAAGGCGCCTGCTCATAGAAAAAGGTCGAACCAGGAACAAAATTGGGACTATTGCCCATGCCATCATTAGGAGATGCCGAATGTGTGAAGACATGACCCACACTACCTTCATGTCAGCAGTAATGGTTTTCGTCAAGCGGACAATGTACGAACTGGAGCAACTTGAAAGGGATCTCGCACCTAAGCCCGCGGCAAGGCCGAACGATGCCTCTCAAGCACCAACTTTTGGAGCTTTAATGTATTTATAGTTCGAGTCAGTATTTTCGTTTTTAGAGTCTGTTGTCTGTCTGTATATTCTATTTTTCATCAAAATGTGTTAGTAGTTTTTTTTAGTCCGTAATTGGTTTTACTTCAGGTTTGTTCTCCTTTCCAAAAAATTGTTTAGTTTGTATTATAATGTTTCAGTAAAGAAAATGGAAAATTCCCAAAATTTGCTTTCACATTTATGTGTCAGAACTATGCATAGTCTGATTCATGCGGGGACATGATACATAGGCTATCCACATAAGATTCGACCACCACTAAAAAAAGAAAGTCTGGAGGCACTTAAAAGAAGTCGGAATGACGCATGCAGTCAGAACAAAGACATGATAGAAATGGTTAAACTGCTTAGGAACATTGCATCCCCAACGTCAAATTGCAATATGTGTTAAACTCTAACGCTAACAAGTTTGTTGTTGATCCAGAGATTTCGAAACAGTTAGCTCGTTAGAACATTCTGGCAGATTACCATTACCACACAAGATCTAAAGGGCCCATTCCGAAAAGTATGTCTGGTTCGGACAAAAGTGTTGAGGAGGAAAGGACGGAGATGCAAATGATGAAGGAGGAAGTAGACA